AAAACATTTAGGTTTATTTTCACCAAAAACATTTAGGTTTATTTTCATCGAAAACATTTAGGTTTATTTTCACTCTCGGTTCAGTTCTCGTCCAGAAAAACACTCATCTTGAAAACTACAAACATCTACACTCCAGACTGCTCTGGACGGGGACATGGACGTGCCGCTTGTCGTTCTTTGACGATGAGCGATAAATTAATTTGTGAAAAGTTTCTCTTCAACACAAAATGTTTTTATTTACCTTCAGTGTTCTTTCTAACGTTCTCCTCGTTCTCTGCTCAGACGTCTGCGTGCCGGAAGCCTCGGTCGTCCACCGACCGCCACAGCCAGTCGCTCGACGACATTCGGCTCTACCAGAAGGACTGCCAGCAGTGGGCGGAGCTCTGCCAGGACACCGCCCACAGCTACACGTTTGGATGCGCTCAGGAGCTGAGTGACAGCAGCGAGCAGCCGGGCCTGTCGGATCAGCGCGCCGGCACCCTCTGCGAGCAGCACCCCTTCCCCATCAAACGGACCAACAAGTACTTCTCTCTGGACCTGACGAGCGACGAGGTGCCCGAGTTCGTGGTCTGACGGAGGAAGAAGGCGATGGGCGTCTCCTCCAGGTGCAGCGCCGAGATGTTTCAGTCCTCAGGGAACGAGATGTGAGCAAACTGGCAGCGAGGCAACTCACCCGTCGTCCCCCACCTGACTCACCCGTCGTCCCCCGCCTGAGGCGTACCGAACAGACGAGGTGGAATCTGGATTTAAAAAAAAAAAAACGACTGAAGGGAAGCTGGATTTTACCGTGCGGCTCAAACTGCTCGCCCTCATCAGCTCTTCAGCTTCACTCCTGTCCGTCAAACTGACTCTAAGATTCTCTGACGAACTCGAAGCTGCAAACCAAAGAAGAATCGTGGAGATGAACCCGAGCGTTGGTCTGATCAAACGTCACAACCATTTCTTTTTTTACTCCTCTGTTACATCGCTTCATTTGACCCCTACAGGACGTGCAGCCCCCCCCCCCCCCCCAAAGTGTGGACTCATGAACACCGCCGTCGTGCCTTCATCCCACTATGCAGGTGTCGAAGCTCGCCTTGACAATCACACCCCCCACCTTAAGTCCACCTCGAGGACTGAAGCCATCAGAACCTTCAGGTTAATGTTCCATGTTCTGGAGTCCAGCAGAGGTTCCACTGAGGTCCCACATGAACTTCTAACGACCCGCCAACATTTACGTCTTCCTCTAACGTTTTGTCTTTTCAGTCAAAATGATTTTAGCTTCATGTCCTCAAACAAATTATTTTATGTTCCTATAAAATGTGTTTTCATGTGTTTATCGATCAATGATCCATCCATGATGGATGGATGGATGGATGGATGGATAGGTGGATGAGTGGATGGATGGATAGGTGGATGAGTGGATGGATGGGTGGATGAGTGGGTGGATGGATGGATGGATGGGTGGATGGATGGGTGGATGGATGGATAGGTGGATGGGTGGATGGATGGATGGATGGATGGGTGGATGAGTGGGTGGATGGATGGTGTTTATCGATGGATCTTCCATGTTGTCGTTCACAGCTCCTGGATTCTGCAACAGTTCTGAGGTTTGATCTAGAAACAGGAAGTAGCTTTCTGAAGAAGAAACTGTTCAGAGCTGAGCGTCCTGTGCAGACAGGAAACAGGAAGCGGGTCGGGGACGGTTCTGACCGTGGCTGTTTCCATCCGTTCCGTGTAGCTCAGGATCCACTGAAATCTGGTTTAACAGATCCTGACGAGGACGAGCCGACTGCGAGGCTGAACCCAGGATTTCTGACTCTGTGTCAGTTTGCCTTCAGATAAAAGGGGAGGAGCTTCAAGGGTGGGGGGCGGTCCTTGAAGGAATGCAAATCACCTGCTGCCTTTCTGACCAGAGTTTGAAACCACAGCAGCCGTCACAGCCGTGCTGAGGATGACTCTCAGCTACTACCACATCAACCTTTTCAGCACGTTAAGCCATTTTAGACAAACAGACTCCTTCTGGTATTCAAGGTTGGGGGTGGTGGGGTCTTTTTAAAAGAGTGATTGACTGATCCATGGTTCAGGACTCAGGTCTGATCCTGCTCCATGGTTCAGGACTCGGGTCTGGGGTCTGGTCCTGCAGAGAAAAGAGACGTGGCGATGTGATCTGTTTCTTCTCCAGCAGAGCGGCCTGTGATTGGTTTTCTTTTTCCACCATCAGCTGTTACCTAAAGAATTGCCGTAATTTCCAGACTATTGAGCGCATCAGAAAATAATAAATACCTTTTGTACATATATAGGTCGCATTTGTGTGCAAGCCATGGGTGTCCACGTTGTAACATGAGATATTTATGATTTCTTAAACTTTAAATATGTACCGTAACATACACAAACCGTAACATACACAAACTGTAACATACATAAACTGTAACATACACAAACCGTAACATACACAAACTAACACACACAAATCGTAACACACAAACTGTAACATACACAAACCGTAACATACACAAACTGTAACACACAAACTGTAACATACACAAACCGTAACATACACAAACTGTAACACACACAAATCGTAACACACAAACTGTAACATACACAAACCGTAACATACACAAACTGTAACACACACAAATCGTAACACACAAACTGTAACATACACAAACCGTAACATACACAAACTGTAACATACACAAACTGTAACATACATAAACTGTAACATACACAAACCGTAACATGCACAAACTAACATACACAAACCGTAACATACACAAACTGTAACACACACAAATTGTAACACACAAACTGTAACATACACAAATCGTAACAAACTAACATACACAAATCATAACACACTAACTGTAACATACACAAATCGTAACACACAAACTGTAACATACACAAATCGTAACACACAAACTGTAACATACACAAACCATAACATACACAAACCATAACATACACAAACTGTAACATACATAAACTGTAACATACACAAACCGTATCACACAAACTGTAACATACACAAACCGTAACACACAAACTGTAACATACACAAACCGTATCACACAAACTAACATACACAAACCGTAACACACAAATTGTAACATACACAAATTGTAACAAACTAACATACACAAACCGTAACACACAAACTGTAATATACACAAATCGTAACACACAAACTAACATACACAAAT